TCTGTCTTTTCTTTTTTGTCCTATTCTAGGAGTTTAAGACAAATGGAATCATGCAGTATGTGGTCCTTTGTGACTGACTTCTTTCACTTCGTATGTTTACGAAGTTCATCCATATCATAGCAAATGTCAGTATTTCATTCCTAGGACCCAAGTACTTGAGTAAATAATGATTTACTGTGCAGGTGCATTAACAGGAAGTTGGTTGGGAAGTGCAGCATACTCAAGGCTTGAACCACTGTCTCCAGTGGCTGCTTAACGTGCTGTACCATGATGCCTGTCTGCCCAGGAAGGAAGATTTAGAGGAAAGAAAATGCTTGAACTGCAATTCCTTAGCAAGTGCTGATAAAGATGTGTTTGCTAGTGGAAAGAGCTTGGTGACTGAGGAGCAATAGACAATGTTTGTATGCCCTCGTGTATATTAACATCTTAGCTCCCAGGGTTAAGTACAAGGAGGTAGGGTCACTGGGGAGGTCATTAGGCCTTGAGGACAAAGTGCTCTTTAATAGAATTAATGCCCTTGAAAAAGAGACACCATAGAGATGCCACATGAAGTTACAGTGAGAAGACAGCTAGCTGACTATGTGGGAATGGCCTTCTTCAGATATTTGATTTGTAGTCAGCTTCATCTTAGACTTCCTAGCCTGCAGAACTGTGAGAAGCACATTTCTATTGTTTATGAGACACCCAGTCTGTGGTATTTCATTGTAACAGCCCAAGCTAAGACACCAGGTCAGAAGGTCTGGGTTCTAGGTCTGTCTCTCATTCATTAGCTATGAATAACCTTAGACAAACTGTCAACTTGACTTTTTGAATCTTATAAATTTCTTCATTTGTAAATCAAGGAAAATAATAGCAGCACTGTCTATTTCAAGGGGTTTCTGTTGGGAAGGTCATATGAGATAAGGGATGTGAGAGTGCTTTGTAAACTATAAAGTGTGGTACTCTGAGGCATGAGCCTTTTTGGCATAATAGCCATTTGACAATGTATAGAGGCATTTGATAAAGGGTATCTGTTCAATAAAAGTACTAGTCATCAAAAATGTTAATCAAAGGTATAGTTTTCTCCCAAGCACTCCAAATAAAGGAGATGCACAACACATCCAAACAGGAAAAAAAATGTAAATAGCCAAGAGAGGTAAATTACTTTCTGTATGAAAAAGTTAACTACTCAGTCATGTTTCAGAGGATGAGCAACACTGGACCAGAAATTCATCAGAAAAGTAGAAAGCCATCAAGGTCTCTAACAGTTGACCGAAGAGCCAGAGAGCTGGTACTATAATGTATTTGATAGAATAAAAGTGGCAAAATCAAACTGCTAAGAGAAAGTTTTGGCTTTTATATAGTCTGGAAATTTGGAATAGTAGTATCACTCTATTTTACACTTTTTTGGTATGTGTTTTCTTTTCTTTTTCTTTTTTTTTTTTAAATTACATTGTATTATGTGACACAGTTTTTTATGCACTGGGATTTCCCTTACCCCTCTCCCAACCCTCCCTCCATGGTGGATTCCTCCACCTTGCTGCATTGCCACAGTTCAAGTTCAGTTGAGGTTCTTTCATTGCAAGCATATACCAAGCATAGAGTCTTATTGTCCAGGTAAGTTCAACGGCTTCTTGTGGAGACCATCTCTGGTCTGAAGGTAGAGCCGGCAGAGTGTCATCCCGACCAATCAAAAGCCCCAACATAACATCCGCAACAATCCACAACAGCATGGAATTAGTGGACATAGTATTGAGTAACCAATATTTTAAAAAAATTACATTTTACAGGTAGTATTTTTCATACTGACATCATTTCATCTTAAATTAAGGCAAACATGTGGTATCTAACCTTTTGGGATTGGCTCATTTCCCTTAGCATTATGGTTTCCAGTTGGGCTGATTTAGCCACAAAGTACTGCATTTTATTTTTTTTAATAGCTGAGTAGTATTCCATGGAGTAGATGAACCATAGCTTTCTTATCCAATCTTCTGCTGATGGGCATTTTGGTTGCTTCCATGATTTTGCAATTTTACACCTTTTAAGAGGTTGTTTATTTGAGACACAGAGAGAACCCTGCAGGTCAGGAACTCAATCCAGGTCTCCGACGTACATGGTTGGGACTTGGATTACCTGAGCCATCACTACTGTCTCCCATGGTCTGCATTAGCAAAAATCTGGAGTCAGGAGCACAGCTGGGCATTGAATCTAGGCACTCCAATGTGGAATGCAGGTATGTAAAAATTATTCTAGGTTTCCATTATACAATTTTGTAAGTATAGGACTTCCTCCTTCCTCATTTTCCTCCCTCTCCCTTCTCCCCTCCCCACAGTTCCCTGTATTTTACAATATAGTCCTTCACAACGGGATGCTGGACTGTCTGACATTGTCTGTACCAACAATGTGGGTACACATAAATAAGAGACTGATAAGAATTACGATTTCTTATGAAGGACTACACTATTGTAGTTTTAAAATGGGAAAAATCTGTCGGGGGTGGGAGTTTGGGGGGGGGGAATCCCAGCCTATATGAAATTGTACCACATAATTCAAAATTCAAAATAAAAATATATTTAAAAATATATAGTCCTTCAGCGGTACTCATGACTCCAGTTGGGATGCAGGTGTCTTAGCCAGCATCGTAGGTGCTAGGACAAATGCCTGCCCCACAGAGTCTAATTGTAATCTGCATTAGTTGACTATGGAAGATACACTTCAAAGTTCAGATGAGGCTCTTGGGTTAGAAATGGAATTTTTCTTCTCAAAATATAGTAAAAAGAAAAAAAAAAAAGAGTGTTCATTGTTGAAGTGTTCTTAAATTCTCACAGGCCACAATTACATAGCTCTAGAATTTTACACTTTTGTTATCACTGTTAATTTTTACCAGGCTATCACCCTGCTATTGTTCCACCAGCTGATGTGCCTTGTAGATACTTGTGTATGAAGAAGGATTTGAGGCAGAGCGGTCAGAATGCTTAGGTATTAACATGGGCTCAAATGATGACTTCATGTAGGGCTTTAAGCAAGCCATCTAACCTTCCAACGTTTTATAGCTCCCTTATAAAAACAATGGTATTTTAAGTGTGTATGAGCTGTTAAAGTTTATAACACATATTTTTTCATTGATCCTTATAAGCCTAGTGTGGCAAGAGCAGATATCATTTGTTTTACAAATGAGAAAACTGAAGTCAAACAATGATATGCACATGCAAAACCAAACAAAAGCCACTGAAACCTCTACTTCACACCATATACAAAATTAAGTCAAATGGATCAAATATCTGTATGTAACACTTCTGTAAGAATATAAAAGAATATCTGGGCTCATTGCAATGGCTCAATGGTTAATTCCCTTCTAAGTGCCGGGATCCCATATGGGCGCCAGTTCGTGTTCTGGCTGCTTCATTTCCCTTCCAGCTCCCTGCTTGTGGCCTGGGAGAGCAGTCAGGACAGCCCAAAGCCTTGGGACCCTGTACCTGCATGGGAGACCTGGAGGAAGCTCCAGTCTGCTGGCTTCGCATCACCTCAGCTCTGGGCATTGCGGCTATTTGGGGAATGAACCAATGGATGGGACATCTTTATCTTTCCCTCTCTTTGTAAATCTACTTTTCAACAACAACAACAACAACAACAATATTTTTAAAAGAAGATAAAAGAGAAAATGTTTGTAAATTTAGGTCAATAAAACATTTCTTAGCATGACAAAAAACACTACCTATAAGACAAAAATGTGTCATTAAAATGGAAAACTTTTGTTCCTTAAATTATTCCATTAAGGAAATAAAAAGGCAAGCTGGAGTTTGGGAGTAAGTATTTAAAATTCACACATCTAATAAAGGACTTATATCTCCAAAGAGCTCCTTCAACACAAAAAAAAAAAAGAAAAAAAAAAAGAAAATCCAACTTCTAAAATGGGAACATAACTGCACACTGCACTTATAGCTATAATAAAATAGATGGGCAACAGTGAGCATTGGCGAGGATATGGAGCAGGCAAAATCCCTGGACACTGCTGTTGGAAATGTGAGCTGGTGTGGCCACCTTGGAGAACAGGCTGCAGCTTCTCACAAAGTTAGTTACCAGGTGACCCAGCAATTCCGTTTCTAGATATATAGCTAGAAGTGAAAAAGTAAGTCAACGTAAAGATTTCTAAATGAATGTTCACAACAGTATCATCTCCAGGAGCCACAAAGTAGAAACAACTCGAATGTCTACCAGGTGTGAATTGATAAACAAAAGATGATAACAGAATATTATTCAGCAAGAAAAAAGAAATGAAATGCTGATCATGCCACAACATAGAGGAGCCTCAAAATTTTACATTCAGACAAAGCAGCCAGCCACAAAAGGCCACATATGGTATGAGTTCATGCACACAAAATATCCAGAATCAGAGACACAGTAAAGACAGAAAGATCTGTGATTGCCTGAAAATGGGAGCAGGAATTGACTGCAAAATGCAAGAGGAAAAAGGTTATGGGAGTGTTCTAAAATTGAATCGCAATGACAGTTGTACAAAGTCCACACATTTACTCAATTGTGCAAATAGCAGGCAAATTTTATGATAATGTAAATCACACTCGAAGAAAAAAAAAATGGAAAAAATACTCGAATAAACCTATCCTGAAAGTGAAAGGCAATTGACAGAGGAGGGCCTAAAACGCAAAAGCTTTCACTCTTTGACCTGCCTTGGAGAAATCATAGGACCAATAATCAGCATATTCACGGGCCAATATCATGATAGGGGAAGAGATGATTCTATTGGGCTTTGAAAATACAAAATAATTTAAAATGCTCAAGAGTGCTACTATTTTGACCCATTCTCTAAAGTACATTTGTGTTAACAATGTCTACTTTTAACTGGGTTTCATAAATCCAAGGAAAAGTAACAATGTGTGACTATATTGTGATATGAATTTACTGGGAAGACTCAGGAAGCATTATTAGATCTAATTTATGCTACACCAGACAATTCAGTTGTTTAAAAATAGCTGGAAATTTAAGGTCACTGTTTAACTTACAGTAGTGCTCATAATTCTCAGAGCGTCTTCAAAATAGTTCCAAATTTCTTCCATGAGAAGGAACTCAAGTCTCGTTGTCCCCTCTGGCACTAAGAGGTGAATCAAGTTGTGCACACACGTGCTGAAAATCAAAAAAGAGAAAACTCATCCCATAAGGAAAGAAATAATTGGCTCCAGGGCTGAGATAAGCCAAATCTGGATCTTATCCCAGACTAAGAGCTTCAAAACCTTCTGTTCTTCCTTTGGACTCCAACCTTAGAAGACAGATTTCTGAAACTGTGAAAGAGGTCCTGCTTCGTATCATACCTATGGCTGTCTTTCACCCTCAGTTTCCTGCCTGACACTGTGACTGTTTATTGTATTTTATGAGCTGTCCAATTTAAAGGCATTTTAAAGCACACTGTTACTTCCTCTAATGGGTAAGGCAACTGGGATTTAAACGGGAAGTAACTCCAGGAGAACTACCTCTAGTCCCTCAGAACAGGAAGACCTTAATAAAACTTTCCACAGAAAAATCACAAAAACATCTATTTTTCCCGTCTGTACATAAAAAAAACCCAAAATTCTAATAAGCAATATTTTGTACAGGACTTACTAGTGCTTAAAGTACATGGTTAGGAAAAAATCTAAGGCACATATACAAAAATGTTGACATTTGTTGGATCTGGGTGGTGGATACATTTGGTGTTTGTTAACCTTCATACCTTGGTATATGTTTGGAATATTTACTAACAAAACAAAGGAAAGAAAGTACTTAGTAGTTTTATTATCTGATTAGATTGAGGCATAAAAGCAATGTTTTTCTTCTTTAGGAAAAGCAGACTCTCAACTTGGCTAAACAATCTTGGTCTGGAACAGAACTCACCAGATGGAGCTGTTTATGGGAGTGCTTCTTTTCCATATCAACTTTTAACTAGGACTAGTTGTATTTGATTGACTGGGACATTGATTACATTGATGTACAGCTGTACATTTTGGTACAGCTACCAAAAAGCTTGGATTAGGTGTTGCATTACATTTACTGACCTGTATTTTACAACATCAACTGATTCTTCCCTCTTGCGAAGTGCGAAAGCCCTTTTCAAGGCCTTGATTGCTATGGAAGGATAGAACGCAGGTTTTTCCACCGCTAAGGCTACAGAGAAGGAAGACAAAGATGGTAAGCAGGTATTTCTAGTTTTCATCCCAGGCTACAACTTGCTTTCTCTAGAAAAACCACCCTGAAATAGCTGAAAAACAAATGAACAAAAACAAACATTATCAAATGATGGCTTCACAGATGCTTTTACAGCTTCTTCCTCCTGGGCAGATTGGCATGGGAGGATTGCCAGGTCACATCATATCTTCAGCGAACATCAAAGGAACATCTACTGTCTATGACCCTGCACACAGCAACATAAGTGAAGCAATAATCTTATGAGCCAGAGCACACTAAGCATGAAGTAGAAAGGGCACAAGCAAGGGTACACACAGAAGGAAATAGAAAGCAGACCAGCATAAGGGCACTCATGAAAACTGTTTTCTACAACAATATATGATTTCTGTCCAACACAAAAAGAAATATGAAAATCTTGGGAAAAGTGAGACCAGAGATAATCAAATGACAAATTTCCAGATGTATTTACTAGGCCTCTAGACTCGGGGACCCACTCTAACAGGGTTTTCACAAAGCTCAAGGAAAATGGATGTATTAAGAAACTATACACAGCTTTCAATTTCTTGGCACTAAAACACACATTTTTAAATTTCATTTTCTATGAACTTCTTGAAGCCCCTTTACAAAGACCAGTGGCCACCATGATGTGTCCATAAAACATCAGTTGCTCCTAAGCACTAAGAATTCTGTCTTGGCAAGACCAAGATAAGTCAGATGTGACTTTTATGTACTTCAGGCTATCCAATATCTTGGTAAATCACACTCACGCTTCCTGAGGAGGGTGAGAGCTTAAAAAGGGGCAGAAAATTAGGCCATTCACTACAGTGTAGTCCCCCAAAGACTGAGCTTCTGAACTCCACTTATAGCTCAGCTGGCAATTAGAGCGGCAGTATCATAAAAGTATTCCAATATTTGTAGATTTCAATGATTTGCTTAAGATTTCATCAATCATCATTTCTAACTACCTGAGAAAAGCCAATTTTCTCAAGTTTGAGCTCCCCCTATTGTGTAGTTATATAACTAAATCCCACACATAGAATAGACTTGAACTCCTAGCATGGCAATGCACTTAGCTGGGTTTTATAAGTATAATACATGTAAGTCATTACTCTTTATGACCCTAAGTAGATTATATAATATTATAGAGGGAAAAGATAAATGCACAAATGACTATAATACAAAGTGGGTTAAGAACGTTATAGCCAGGGAGAAACAAAATGCCACAAGGAAAATTGTTTCTTCTCCTCTGGAGCAGAGAGAGAAAGAGAGAGAGAGAGAGAGAGAGAGAGAGAGAGAATGAAGAGTCATAGAATCTAAATAGGTACCAATCCCACAAAAACATAAATGTAATTCTTACATGCAATTATTTCATATGTTCTACTTTCCAAATTAGGTATCTCCCACAGGACTTCCATGAAGCTGTCCAGTGATGGGTCATTCATTTTGGTTTTAATTTCAAACTCATACAGCAGAAGCAACGTCTCACATGGATCATTTGAGAAATCCCCTAAGAACAAGACAAATATACAACATTTTGTGATTACATTTAAATACTCTAATTCCAATTTAAGTGGGAAAATTTCCCTACAAAAGAAAACTCAATTTTACTTAAAATGTGAAAGTCATCCTAGCCTCTAGACAGATTTTCAATATTCTGAAATCAATAAACTCATCCCTATCTTCAACACCCCCTAAAAAGGTATTTATATGCTCTGAAACTATTGTTACGGTATCAGTCGGAAAAGTTCTGCTGCTATCAAGATTCTCATTCAAATTAGAATGCTCACCTAACTACTCCTAATGCTCCCTCTAATGGCTGGATTAACCAGAATTAACTAACTGCTTTCATTTGAAGCAAAGTAGAAAAATTGTTTCACTTAGTTAACAAAATTACTTGTGTATTGCCATTGGGAAAATTTTTTCAGACAGGATCATTTTCATCTACCTTTGGCTAATAAAATGTTTAAAAATGTTTTCAGGTTAACACATGTAGAACAACCTGAAGAAGTGCTCTAAACTTTTCAAAAAATTTATTTTCTTTTTAATGTTGTTTATATAAATTGAGAGGGATGCACATCCATGTGGGCCTCCAATTAGGGTGGGGAGAGTCAGGTATGGAGGAAGGAAGGCAGGTGCTTTAGCTTTTTTTTTTTTTTTTTTTTTTTTAATTCTGTGTCCTCATGGGAGGAGGGGGAAGGGGTTGCTTCTTGCTGTCAAACTATATCAGCACCTGGCGATGGAGGGCAACATCTCAGAACTATCAAAACCATTGTAGAAATAACACCCTCAGAACACTTTTTCCCACGTTGGGGTCTTTAAGGTATCATCAAAGAACCATCCCCCATCCCAGGGTGCTGGTATCCAGCTCTCATGTGAACTGGCAGGTGCTATGCCCTGGTCCACATGCATTCTGGTTATTGCAAGCACCAGAGGGTGCTGGAGCCCAGCACAGTTTGGCCTGCCCTCAGACTCAATGGATGCTACAGCCTTGCCTAGCCTGGTCCGCCCACAGCCCCAGCCCTTCTACTCATCATAGGGAGGTGCAGTCTAGTCTAGCAACAGAGTCCCCAGAGTTCCCCCACCAAGCCCTTTGTTCCCAACCCACTTTGCTGGTGAGTTGCTCAGATCCAGCTTGGCTTGGCCCATCATAGTATTTGCTCTCACTGGTGGGTGTTACAGTCTAGCCTAGCTTGGCCTGTTTCCAGATCTGGCCCACTCAAATACTGAAGAGTACTGTAACCCTGCCTGGCCTATGCCACCCCCAGCTCAACTCTTGTGCTCCCCAGCAAGAACTGTGGCCTAGTAGGGCAGGTCCCCAAGTTACCCCACCAGACCTGCTCCCAGTCTTGGATCTTACATTTCCGGTGGGGGCAGCAAACCTGCTTATCATAGTCCTGCCCTCAGTCCTGGCCTACTGGTAGGTGCTGCAGCCTGGGTGAGGACTCAGACATGCCTGAGAATCTTCCCCCGTTCTAAGCCACCATGTTTCACCTCCCTTGCCTACTCTCAAGTGCAGTGTCCTGGCCCATGGACAATCCAATAAGTCATTCCTCTCCTGTCAAACATGCCCTCAGCTGTTCCCACTCTAACACATCTTCAGACCTCCTCCCCCAGGTAATCTGCAGCCCCCAATGCCTGGGGGCCTTGGTGGCATATCATTCCCTGCCTTCCCTATCAATATATGAAAGCCCCTATTCTGGCATACTGATATATTTAACCCAAATTTGGCAATAATTAGGCCCAGAATGCTTGCCAGCTGCTAGCTGTTTTTCTCCCAGCAATGTAACACTTGCCTAGGTACAAGGCAAACTAGGCTGTTGCCTACAGCTGGGGGAAGTGCTCTAAACTTAAATAAGCAACTCCAATGAAATTTCACATTTGTTTAAACCCATGCAATCACTACCCACAGTGTGATAAAGAGCACTTTAAGAAAGTATGTCATTGTAAAAATTGAAAAGAAAAATAAGAAAAATGAGGGAGGGTAGGAATGAGTGAGGGAAAGTACACTGGAAAATGTTATTATGCTCTTAGAACTGTATATACAGAATACATGAAGTGTGTTCCCTTTTTATAAATAAAAGTATAAAAGAATACTTTCAATACCTTAGAATGCCTCCTTGGGCTCCTTTCTGGTTAATAAAATTGAACGAGAGGAAACAATTCCTTTTACTTCTACCATCACTTTGTATTGCTTATCCTTGAACTTGATTGTTAATACACAGAAACACAGTTAATTTGTGAGTATTCACTTTGTAACATGTGACTTTCTAAACTCACTAGGCTCAATAACTTTTTGGTAGGTTTTTTTGGGGGGATTTTGTATACAAATAATCATGTCATCTGCAAAGAGTTGTTCCATTTTCCCCCCACTGCTATGACTTCCATTCCCCCACCCACCCCACTATCTTGCATGCTTACTAGACTTGTTGGGACATCTACAAAAATGTTGAACAGCAGTGGTGAGGATGGACATCCCTGACTACGGGAAAGTAGTTAATTTTTCACCTAAGTATGAAATTAGCTAAAGTTTTACTTAATTTAAACACACACACACACACACACACACACACGCAGAGCCTATCTGCTGGTTCACTTTTCAAAGCTAGGAGTTGGAAACCCAACCAAAGCTTTCTTTGAGTGAAAAGGACCCAAGTACATGAGCCATCACTTGCTGCTTCCAAGGATGCACATTTGCAGGAAAATAGAATTGGAAGCAGGGGTGGAACTCCAACCCAAGCACTCTGACATGGAATGTGAGTGTCTCAGCTGCTAGGCCAAATGCCTGTAACAGGTTTTATTTTTGTAGATGTTCTTTATGGGGTTAAGGAACTTCCCTTCTATTTCTAGCTTGCTGGGGGTCTTTATTGTGAATGTATGTTGAATCTAGACAAACTTCTTTTTCATTATCTATCAAGAGGATTTCACGTGGCCAGTACTTGGTCAAGATGAAACAGGACCTGGAAGTTCAATGATGGGACCTGGGATTCAAAGCTTGAACCTGGCCTCTGATGATGATGGCAGGAAACCAACTACTTGGGCCACCATTGCTGCCTCCCAGGATTCACACTAGCAGGAAGCGGGTATCAGAACGGAAAGCCGGGCATCACAGTCTCACAAAAAGTTGTTAATCCTTCTTACCAACCTAATTATCTCTTAAAGGCCGTCTTTCCCAACACTAACCTAGTGGCATTAAAATTTCAGAATAGACAAATCTTATTCAAATTTCAGCAGATACACTCGTTAATTTTGAACTGCCTAAATTAAACTTAATTTTATTGAGTAGTAAGAGTTTCTTATGCTAAATACAAATATTTTAAAATATTTTTACTGAAAATCCAGCTGATAAGCCATATATTGGTGCATGTGTTCATATTCCGACAACTACTTAAAATCCATTATAACATTTGTTTCTTAACATTTTATTATTATTATTAATTATTATTTTATGATACAGTTCCATAGGCTCTGGGATTTTTCTTACTCGTTCCCCAAGTACTTTCTCCTCCACACCACACGGAGTTCCCCTATACTATCACTATAGTACAGCTCTTCTTAAAGTCATATGTCCATCATTGTGGGCATGAACAATGGCAGAGTCCAGCATCCTATTGTCAATATATAGTAAACAGTTTCACTGTGAGTCCATCTTTGATCTGGTAGTAGCAATGCATACTGCATTGCTGTATCCTTACATCTGGATATGATAGTCTCATTGCACAGTTACTATACATCCCCTTAAATGAAAAACCACAATGCAAAATCAACAACAGGAAGAAAAAAGAATTTTAAAAACAACATGAAGTTAGGGGAGAATCAAGATGGAGAAATAGGGTAAAGACACGTTTAAATGGACGGAAAAACATTTAATCCGGATGAAGCAGAGAGGACTTATTCCAGAAAATAGGAAAGGACAGAACAACAGCAGGGGTACCTGGAGACTCACAGACACAGAAAAGCAGCGGACACAATGGTGTGGTGTTGCAGTGACTGATACTCCAGTGCCATTCAGCGAACAGTGATCTGAACTCTACCAGCAACCAGGTGGGAAGGAATTTTCACTGGGAGCTTGGGAGGTAAATCCAGAAAAAGAACTGTCTGTCCTGCTGGTCTGTTTGATTTAGCCTGGAGCAGAGACAGCACAGCAGATCCCAGATGGGCATTGTGAGAACAGGGTGGGTTTCACAGCCCAGTCAGCCCCCTAGAGCCAAACTGGGTGCCATTTTGGGTAAGGAGGCAAAGGCAAGGGAAAGGACTGAGCATACGCTGAGCTGCGAGCAAACTCATTTTTGACTCAGTGAACTGCATCAACATGGAATTCTACAGGTTCCACCCAAGACAGGTCTGGGTAGCCTTGAGACCTTATGGCCAGCAGATCAAGAACGCTAGTGGTGGTACGTCAGGCGCCATTTTGTGCACCGTGGCAATAGCTTTAGGACTGCAGGGACAATAGTGAACTGCGCATGTGCTGAGTTTGTGAGAACTCACTGAGTTCCGTGGATTGCACTGGTCCTGCAGGAAAACAATACCGACTTTGGCATCCTATGGGTCAAAATAGGTCCATGTGGCACCCAGACCTAACATCCAACAGGTCCGGCAAGATCAGAACAAACAACAACCTAGTCATATAGGATACCTGGTGTCTCCCTTAAATAAAAAGCCATCATACAAAATCAACAACGGGAAGAAAAATAGAAATTTACAATGCCATGAAGTTAAATAACATACTACTTCATATGACAGTCTCCATTACAGTTACTATACATCCACTTAAATCATTTTTTTCAAGAAGGTTCTTGATTTTCTTTTTCAGTTCTTCAGTGACAGATTAGTCATTCAGTAGCATGTTACTTAACTTCATGGCATTGTAAATTTCTTTTTTCTTCCTATTATTGGTTTTGTTTTAGAGTTTTTGATCTGCTGGCTGTCAGGTCTCAGTGCTATCTAGACCCATCTTGGGTGGAACCTGTAGGATGTACTGAGCCAGAAATGAGTTCACTTCCGGCTCAG